AGGTAGATTAAAACCCGACTTACCTATTTTCATTTTTTAGCATTGTCTCATCGACTTTTTGAAGAATTTGCTGATTAAGCATGAATAAGTGATTCATGCTTTACCTTTTGTTAGGTTATTTTAGGTATACAGATTTCTTTCTCTGAATGGGGGTGATGAAATACAAACATGTGTCTGACCTTTGCCTTTTACCTTCCTGGTGCAGCATGTGCAATATAAGCAAACTCTCATGGTGCACAATTCTGTTTTCTGTGCCCAGCTGCCTGCCAACCAGCTGTGCCTAAGAGTTGTCGGGCTTTGTGCTCAGGATTAAATAATAATAATGAAATTAAAAATAAATGATAAATTAAAAAAAAATAGCAACAACAGTAGTGGTAATAATGATCTAGGTCTAGCTCTGGAGAGAAACTCACGTGATGAGTCAAAGTCAAAATGCCTGCTGACAAAGCTAAGTGAGAACACCAGGTATTTGATAGGCAAGAATACTTCCAATTTTATTTTTTTTTTTCAAACTTAACTTTCCATAGTTTCAATATGGAAGGAGATTGTCCTTAGAATTCAAGACATAGCAATAACAGAATGAAACTGACTTTAACACATTGAGTTATTTAAATTTTTCTTGCTTAGAAGGGAACAAAATATGTCAGTCCTTTCAATGAATACCCTCCTGAATTTTTTAAATAGTCCTTATTTCCTTAGCAACGTTGCTTTTTTCCCCCCTCCCCCCTCCTTTTTTAATATTAATTATGTAATTGTGCTAGCAAGTAGTTCCAGTATACATCTTGGCAGTTGTTTTCTCCTTTTTCTTTAAAAGTGTTAGAAAAATAAAAGAGGACTTCCCATATATTATTTAGCTGAAATACCTCTCCAGATTTTAGGAAAGTTAAAGGTTTAAGTGATCACAGATGACTTTACAAAGACACTTAAAGGGTCAGATAAACATCCTTCCCCTCCTTGAGAAGAAAAAAAGCCTAGCAATCCCTTTTGTATAGATCAGAAGAAAGAAAAAAAAAAAAAAAACCAAAAAAAAACAAAAAAAAACCCCAAAAAACCCCAAAACAAACCAAGGGAAAGCCCTGATTTCGGCTGGCCAAAAAGTTATGTCATTTTAATCAGTGAATTGATTTAAACGTATATGATTTTCTGAGATTACACCTTTTCAAAATGGAAGATGATCTTGTCTGTCAATTTTTATGTCCTAATCTCCATGTTTGTGGTATTTTAAAAGTATCAATTTAGATTGGATGAACATCTGGAGTAGTTCTCATGAGAGAAAAAAAATCTTATATATTAAAGCTGTTTCTCATCATTCTAGTCCTGGAAAAAATATGTAATATAAGTGTCTTATTGCTTCATATTGAGGGGAAAAAAACTAATACAGTTCTGGGGTTTTTTTCCTGTTCTAAAATGATTAACAATTACACACCAGTTTAGAGTTACACCTCAGAGAAGACACATACTAAAGACAACTACTGCTAAAATTACTTCTAGCTTCTTTTGTAGAATTATAACGGATAGAAACCTACACAGGGCTTTGGATACTGTGTTTAATGATCTCATAAATTGGAAAAAAAATTAGTAAGTTAGAAGCATTTAAGATGGAGGTACAGTGCTGTTTATGGGAAAGGTGACACCATGAGTGGAGTAGGAGACTGGGATGCTACCAGAGGGAGCCTTGAAAATAACGAAAAGAAACATTAGCTAGGAGTAGTGTAAGAGAATCAACTAATGGGAATATGTTACTGGTTAGCAGAGAAATTTATAATAATCAAAACAAAATCAGGGATGAAAACAAAGTCAGTACTCAGAACAAACTGGTCAAAACAGAACCAAGGTGGACCCTCCAGTCAGATAACAGAGCAAGAGTGGAGGCAGTCTGGGACAAAAACTAAACAGTTTTCTTTTCAGTGCTAGAAGAGATGTGTGGTGGTAGCAAAAGTTCTCAAAACAGTCAGGAAAAAAAAAAAAAAGGTGCAATTTGGTATTAGAACATGTTAGGAGGAAGTCACAGAAACTTTGTAATAGAAGTTCAGTCTCTGAAGAAGCTAACGGTGTTTGATTTTCCTTGTCCCCGCTACACAAGGTGCGTATTCCAACTGGTGGCTGTTCGTTTCGGGGTTATTTTGCTGTTACTCAGATTCAAAACAAAAAAAATAAAAACCTTATAGTTACTCACCCAAAATAAGTTAATTATGCACAATGGTTCCATTTTTCATGGATTAAAGACTTATTTTACACAGTCTACTGCCTCTAAGAAAAAAAAAAAAAACAACCAAAAAAAACCACCCCCAAACCCCAACCAACCAAACTTGCTTGAAGGCTATACTGCAGGAGATAATGCTCTTCTTTAAACAAATAACATTTATAATTATGTAGTTCATTCAGTTTTCCACATTACTCTTTCTAGGCCTTTTTTCTGTATAATAGTTGTATTCTGGAACCCAAATTTGTTGATGTTCTGGGACATATTTTCTTCTATTCCCATCCAATGCTAGGAATACGAGACACACAGTAGTTCCATGTGAGAAATGTATCATCATAATGGAAAAATAAATGTGTGCCCCTAGTGTCAAGTATAATAATTATTTTGAGTTAGTCCACGTAATAATATACCATATGATTTCCAGCATAAAAGGTATCTTTCAACATATATCATCACACTACAATACAAGAATAAAATTTAGGGGCATAGGAGTCATCACTGAATTGCTCACCATTGCTTTCAAGAAAAAAATCCAAAGTAAGCTTTGTAGGTTAATATAGCTTTGTATATTTCTTGTCTACATAACTTTTCGGTGTCTTTTTTTGAACTGGTACCTAGGGGTAGTAGTAAAAGTGATCCATCTCTGTGGATTCTAATTTTCATGCAGCTTTCATTAACTGAATATAAAGGAGTGTTCAGAGAAAATGTTCAGATAGATTTAAAGAGTATATATGATCTCTGAAATACAAAAACTTATCAAAATGAAAAAAAAAATACAGTTTTCAGAACATAAATATGATTTTATAGAAGACTATACTTGTGCTAAGATTCTTGGCTTCACTATAATCTTTTATTAAAAGCTGCATAGTTAATGGTAATGTGCCTTCATGGCTTAATGCTAATTGGGCCCACTCAAGGATACACTTGGGGAACAAAAATAACTTTAATCCCTAAGAAATATTAATAATTAGAAGGATGGAATAGATCAGATGTTGCATCCAGGAAACAATTGTGTTGACAGCAGGTCAAGGGAGGTGATCCTGCCCCTCTGCTCAGCACTTGTGCAGTCACCCCTGCAGCACTGGGTCCAGTTCTGGGCTTCTCAGTACGACAGAGATATGGACAGACTGTACAAAGTCCATTGAAGGGCCACCAAGGAGAGAAAGGGACTGGTGTGTCTCCTATGAGGAGTGTTGAGACTGTTCAGGCTGGAGAAGAGGAGCCTCAGGGATATTTTTAATGTATATAAATACCTGAAGGGAGGGTGCACAGGGGACAGAGCCAAGTTCTTCTCAGTGGTGTCCAGTGCCAGGACCAGAGGCAACGGGCACACACTAAAACACAGGAGGGTCCCTCTGAACATCAGGAAACACTTTTTCACTGTGAGGGTGACAGAGCACTGGCTGCCCAAAGAGGTTGTGGAGTCTCCATCCTCAAAGATACTAAAAACCCAAATAGACAGAGGCCTGGGCAACCAGCTCTACGAGTCCATGCTGCCGCAGGGGCGTTGGACAGCAGGACCTCCAGTGGTCCCTTCCAACCTCATCCATCCTCTGAAACAAACACTTTTAGTTGCAATATAGAGTTCCTGCACTTGCTGTTGCTCACTTACTTCAGCTTGGTGTCTGACTGAGCCTCTACCTTCTGAAAAGAGTTGCAGAAGGTATCTGGATTCTGCTGGAAATGATTCTGGGATTCACTGAGTGTGCCCGACTGATGGTCTGGAATAGCTGACATAGGATGCAATCTTGACTTGCTGGACAAAGGACACATGTCCACCTCAGCAAACCCAGAAGGTATCCCAGATGTATCTGTGAAACGCGTGCCCAGTCTCCTCTCAGATGTGCTTTATACCAACACTGGCTCTAAGCTTATTTAGCAGAGCTGACCTGACAAACAGAAGGGCTGGGTAAGTTACACCCTCTTACTAGGGATAGCAGTGACCACATACTCTCTAGACATCCTGACTCCCGAGCCGTCCCTTGGGCTGCTCCGTTGTGCGTCATCTCTAGAGTAGGTCAGTGGCTGTAAAGCACATACTGATCTCCAGGGAGTTCACAGAAAACCCTGATCTCTCATACCGTCAGGAGCATTCTTTAACTATCATCTCCATAGCCTTCAACTCATATTCTTATATGCGTAATTTGACTCTTTTTCAGGAATAACTCCTGTTCCTGACACATCTTTATAAATAATTATAACGTTAATAAATGGAAAGGGTAAGGAGAGACGGGACAATTTAAAAAAAAAAAAAAATATAGAAGGGAGTGAGCATTTGGCTTCAGTGTGCAAATGACATATAATTTCCAACAACTTGCAGAGGAATAGTTATCTTGCCTTTAAGACTTGTTCATTTACTTTAAAAATATATATCTCAAAATTTAATTTGTGGTTTCAGGAGCTAAGAATAGAAAATTGCATAATGCCCTTTTAAACTTTAGTGACTAAGAGTGATCACATTAAATGAATATAGCATACATGGAGATCACTAAAATATAACTTTTTTCCATTGCAACTGTTTAAATCTCTCCGACATTGGTTAAGCTAAAATATAACATGAGTACTTTTAAGGTGCAAATGTTATATTCCTTAAAGTATGATGAGGAGTTAAGAACCAACAGAACCCACCGCATCCTATCGAGGTTACTCTGGGAATAGAGTTAATGAATTTGTGGTTTGTAAAGCATATCCTTCTTCAAAAACATTTGTTTTTGAAATTTCATTCATGACTGTTCCAGGTGTCTCTTATGTTTATCAACAGCATTTTTTTTTTTTTTTTTCCATTTTCTTCCATCAGATGCTTCATTCCAAATGCCTACGCTGCTCTCTTCACCGCTGCTCTGGTGCCATTAATGTGCTTGGTAGTGGTTTTTGTGGTGTTCATCCATGCCTACCAGGTGACACCACAGTGGAAAGCGTACGACGATATTTTCAGAGGAAGAACAAATGCTGCAGGTATGATTCGTTGGCTACCCCTGCACAAACAAGTTGGACTTTCGGAACGGTACTGACTGTTCTCTCCAGTTCAGAAAACCCCACTAGAAACCATAATTCAGTAGATACCTACACACTTTCTTAAGATTAAGCACGTTAGTGGTCTCTTTGAAGTGTGTGAAAGTACTTTAGTGATGAAAGTTATGAGGATGCTTAACTGTCTTAGGAGGATAAAAATGTGTTAAATCTAAGAAATCAGTATCATTGGCTGCACAGTCCTGCGTGGGCTGCATGTTGGGGTATTTGGAGTTAATGCCTCTGTTTTGAAATGTCCTAGTGCTACTCGCAGCTGAAACGTGCTTGAAAGAAAAGATCTGTCTCATGCAAAACAGGAAGTATCGGTCGGTCTCCCCTGTCAGAACAATTTCAAATACAATAATGTTCTCAAAATAAAGTTGCCGCAGTTTCGACTGATACCATAATAATAGGACACTTTGTGGGAAGCTTAGAATTTTTTTTTTCTTTCATAGTGTTTTTGGAAAAAAATCTGAGTTTTATAAGCAAGTGCAAATACACAGTTTTTAATAAAAGTGTATCTATTTTCTCCCTGACTGCATGAAGCCAGTAAGATTTTATAAACTTCTGAAAGATTCTTGAATCATTTTTCCCAGTTCATTTAATAAGTATCATCTGAACTTAAAAGGAACGGTGGATTATTTAAAAATTCCATTGAGTAGTCCAGTGCTTGTTACTCTCCAGATTTATACAGAGCAGCTGTCTTGTTCAAAAGATGAAATTTGCAGTGATAATTGTATTATAAAATGAGGGGTTGTGGGTTTTTTTTGACATTTGGGTTATAGAAATATATTCCTTTTATGAGAAAATGAAAATAAATATTAAATATTTATTATCTGGACATTTCTTCAAATATTAATTTCTTTCTTAGTGACAAAATGTCAGCTTGATTATGAATTTTTATAAGGTCTGATAAACATAGCTTATAAATATGATACTCAAGACCTTAGCTGCACTTTACTCTTTCATTTCTTTCTGATATAAAAGAGATTGCCTGGAGCAATCATGAAGGTGGCTCCTTATTCAGTCTTGAGTAATGCAGTTTATTTATTTATAAATTATTTTAGTATCTCTAAAGATGGAGATTCCATATTCATATGTTGAAGGTCAAGGCTCGTCTCGGAGCAGTTAAACCAAAGGAAAAAAAAAAAGTACTGAATGTTGAAAAAATACACTGAGTAAAATAAGCATGCGAAATGCAGAAAGTACTAACGGGAGTTATATCTACCTTACATAAAGGCATGAAATAATAGCATTGAAACGACTGTGTTTGATTTAACATAGGATACAGGGTCTTTTCCTTCTCTAATGGAGTCCAGAAAAACGCTATGATGAATGCTGGGGTCTCAGAAGAAAGGAAAAAAAAAAAAATCGGGGAGATGTTCAGTAAAATGTCAATAATAGCTGCTTCTTTTTTTTTTTTATTATTTTTCTTTTTCATAGTAGGTTGTAACTTTCACCATTTGTGCACCTGCACGGCAAAATGGCATTTTGCTACCGCAGGGCTTTTGCAAGCAGAAATGAAAGTACCTTGTGCGGTGTGGGCGAGAGATGGTTGGAGAGAGGCTGTTTTAGAGAAGAAAAAGAGCCGTCTGCTGAGTTTTATGGTGCCTGAGGTTGTGTAAGGGCTCTCTGCGTAGCTGTGTTTATAGTGCAAGCTTCCAGAGAGAAAGGCTGGTGATTTCCGTAGTTTGTAACGTTGCTTAGAACTACATAACACGGTGCGCGCTGTTAACGAAAGGCCTCTGGCTTTCTGACTGAATTTTTCTCTCCTGAAATTCGAGACAGCGGTAGTATACTTACATTATTTTTAAAGTTTTATGGGCATACTGTGCTTTTAAAGGCACGTTCAAAGGCAGGTTCGCAGTGGTAAGGCCTATTAGCGCTTTCAGATGTTGAATCTCACCATATGAACTATTCCTTGGCGAAGTTCACTCCACTTGACTCCACGTTCTTACAAACTCAGTGAGACCTGCTCCTGCTTCAGTGCTGTTATTGCAGCGGCCTCGGGGGATGCTCTGGGAGACAAAATTTTTCCTAACGGCAAAGTTTCCTGCAGTCAGCTGCGTGGTGATGTCTTGAGAGGGGGTCCTGGGTCACACCCACACCGAGTTCTGTCCGCAGTGACACTTACAAGGTCCTCTGGTGTAAGGAGGACTTTTGGCAATGTTAACTTGCACAGGAACCAATTATCTTGCTGTTTTGTCGTGGCAATGAATATGCCAGGGTTTCTCTCTGTTTCTTCCAAAACCGGAGGAAGGGTGGAGCTACCAAGCAACAGTTGTCTATGTTTAGTGTCTTATTTTAGCTTGTCTCTGGCTGTCGTCCCCATACTGATTTATGCCCTGTTCAGTCACCCACAACAATGAATTCCTACAGAAAAAAAAACCCAAAAAACAAAACCACCCTCTCAGACTCCAGCCTGAGGTTCGGTGCCCAAACTTTCCCACTTTGAACAGTACATTAAACCATGAGAAAAAAAAACAAAAAAAAAATCTCACTGCTTTGGAAAAATGTCTGTTTCCGTTAGTTACTCTTTCTAGAGAGAAAATAAAATTCCAGGTGAATGACACTATAAACAATTCTGACAAATCAAGTGTAGAGAGCTATAAACATAGACAAAAATATTTTAAAATATGCTTTTACTAGTAATTGTGGACACCTGTTCATGCTTCTAGATTTAAATTCCAGAGAACAAAGAGCATTGCAGAAAGGAAAAAGTGGCATATATAGACATGAAATTATCATTTATACAGAGATATTCATGCAAACACCTATTTGCATGTGAATATTTGAACTAGCATTGTTTATTCCCTTTCTGGGAGATATTCAGTTAGGAAATAGTTAAAATTGCAGTTGTGATACAGATGACCCCGGGTGAATTCTGCAATAATTCATGCAAAACATCACTGAATGTTGTCAATAAAAATAAAATAGCAAGGTCACTGGCTTGCATATTACCATAAAATAGAAAGAGGAGTCAGGTATGCAGATCTGAAAGAAAAAAAAAATCATTATCTGGCTTCTAAGTCTACATATTATTGGTTATTTCATAGATTGTAGAAAGAGCCTCTCAAACTATAGCTGGTAATTCTGAAGTTCCATGTTTGTGACCTCTGTTTGAGGAAGGCTGTTACTAACTTTAATAGAAATTTAGCAGGAATAGAAAGAGCAAAGTTTATCCTCATTTGTAGTGTATACTGGGTTTTTTTCAAATAGATTGAATATGCAAGTGGCTAAGTTAAAAATCAGGTCAAAACTTTTTCTCATTCACTTTTCTCCTGTTGTTGGAGTACTCTGAAGCTTACCTTGCAAATAAAGTTCATCTTGAACTATCCAGAATCACAGATTGGTTTGGGTTGGAAGGGACTTTTAAAGATCCATCTAGCTCCAACCCCCCTTGACATGAGCAGACACCTTCCACTAGATCATGTTGCTCAGAGCTCCGTCCAACCTGGCCTTGGACACCTCTGAAGATGGGACATCCACAACTTCTCTGGTCTAACTGTTCCCATGTCTTACCACCCTCATATAAAAAAAATTCTTCATCTATTCTACATCTTTCATCTTTCAGTTTAAAACCACTGTCCCTTGTCCTGTCACTGCAGGCCCTACTAAATAATCTTTCTCTTTTTTAAATATTGGAAGAGCACACTAAGCTGTCGCCGGAGCCTTCTCTTCTCCAGGGTGATCAACCCCAACTCTCTCAGCCTGTCCTCTCAGGAGAGGTGTTTCAGCCCCCTCACCATTTTTGTAGCCTCCTCTGGTCCCGCTCTGACACATCCATGTCTTTCTTGTGCTGGCACTCCAGAGCTGGACCCCGCAGGGCAGGTGGGCTCTCAGGAGATCAGAGTGGAGGGCTGTAACTGCCTCCCTCGACGTGCTGGCCACACTGCTTTCGATACAGCCCAGGATTCAGTTGGCTTTCTGGGCTGCAAGTGCATGTTGCCAGGTCATGTCCAGCTTTTCATCTGCCAGTATCCCCAAGTGCTTCTCTGCGGGGCTGCTCTCAACTAATTTCCAAGTCTGTACCGAAATGCCCCTTCCTGGGTGCAGGACCTTGCACTTGGCCTTGTTGGACTTCATGAGCTTTGCATGGGCTCACTTCTCCAGGCTGTTGAGGTCCCTCTGGATGGCATTTCTTCCCTCAAGCATACCAACTACACCACTCAGCTTGGTATCAACCAGAAACTTGCTGAGGGTGCACGCAACCCCTCTGTCTAATAAAGATATTGAACAGTACTGGTCCCTGTCCAGAACCCTAAAGGACACTGCTTGTTGTGGATCTCCATTTGGACATTGAGACTGACTGCAGTTCTTTGGATGTGGCCATCTAGCCGATTCCTTATCCATCAAATAGTCCATCCACCAAACCTATACCTCTCCAATTTAGAGACAAGGATGTTGTGTGGGACCGTGTCAAATACCTTAGAGAATCTGAGATAGATGATGTGAGTTCTCTTCCCTTATCTATCAACACACTCACTCCATCATAGAGGTCCACCATGTAGTAAAGCATCTTCCTGAACTGAGGTAGCAGTACTGTGTTTTGCTATTTGTTGTCTGTAGGAGCAGAAAGTTTGTTGTTACCAGCACTAAACGGGACTCACGTATTTTTCTAGCTAAAAGCAGAATAAAAATGCTGGGTTTCACCATACATAACTAAGAGAAAAGTTTTGCCGCTTGATAAGTGCAAAGAGGATCTATTTGTACAGGTTATATAGTTTCTTGGAAAACTATAGGATGTAACTGGTTTTTTTTACATACAGTTTTACACAGAAATTAATTTATTCGTTATACATACTTTTCTGTCATGCATATATTCTTCCTAGTCCTCTAGATTTATCATGGGTCCACTTGAGTAGAGTCACATATCTCATACTCCATTCTGGTAGTTCCAGGCTTTCAAGAAAACATCATGACAGCTAGCCCAGAAAAATTTTGCT